ACGCTTCCCCGTCCTCTGCCCAGAAACGTGGAGTGCCATGGGCCCCAGCCTCCCTTCTCGGGCCTGTCTCCAGAGCCCCTGTCTTCCTGCCAGCGAGGGCAAACCAAGCCCACAGTTTGTCCTCCTCCCTCCCCCTGCAGCTCCTCACCTGCAGAGGCGCAGGCTGCCGGAGCGCCACTTCCAAGTCACAGCACCCTCTGTCTCAGGATTACAACTGCTGGCCTGGCCGTCGTTGAAGGACTGGGTCTCTCTACCGGCATGGAGAAATGATCTGGGTCATCTAATTTGGTTTGTGACCTACTAATACATGCAGGAAACTGTCTCAATAGAAATCTGCTTCCCAGCTGGCTGGCTTGCTGCAGACACCAGTGGAGATGCAGCCTGGTGTCAGCGTTGGGCAGAGATGTCACGGTTGTGGTGGAGACCTGCCTTTCCCCTGAAGCTCCAACCCATTTTGTCAAAGGCAGGGAGCCTTCAGTGGTCACTACACAGAAATGGTGGCACAGCCCGGTGCTGCCCAGACCGGCCTCGCTCTTTAGCCGTCCCATGGGTGACTTATCGCCCCTGTGCTCACGACAATGAAAGAGAGAAAGAAAAGTGAGAAAAGGGGCTCCCGCCACCCATGTAACTGCTGCTGCTCCAGCTCTTCAAAACAAGAGTCTGAAACAGTTGCCGGAAAGTACCTTGAATGACCCCTTCGCAGAAACAGCAGCAGGGAGGAACCACTGCTCAGGGAACAGGGGCGCCAGGCAGACACGGCCCCAGGGCTTGGCCTCCCTTTGGCCTCTGCTTTCTTGCTTCTCCTGCCAGCCGGGAGTCAGGCCCCGAGAACCCCCCAGTGCTTTAGAGAATGAAGTCGCGCCCCAGAGCCCCTGGTCAGCACTGCTCCAGGCGCAGGGAAGAGGAAGCAGCTGGGAGGGCGGCCGAGCAGAGGGTGGAGGATTTGGGAGCAGGTGCACCTGCCTCTGAATCCCAGCTCAGCAGATGTGTGTGACCTGCGGCAATTTTCTTACTCTGTGTCTCAGTTTCCTCATTTGTAAAATGGGAACGTTATCACCTACTTAATGGGCTGTGGTGGGCATTAAATGTGCTCACGGGTGTACAATCAATTCTCTGTTGCAGAGACCTGTCCTTGTGTGAACAATCCAGACATAACTGTGGCCACCCACAGGTGCCACTGGGGACACAGTGGTGGCCTTTCTTGCTGATTTTTTTCCAGGTCCCTGCCTGTATAGTTTCAGAAACAGAATTTCAATTACTTCCTGGGAACAATTTTTTTTTAATAACTAATTTCATGTGTTAGAGTTAATGAATGCGAGAAACAACCAATGTGTTTGACTGCAGGGAGCTCAGCACCACGAGTTCAGAAGCCAGCGAGAAGCCCCATCTAATACTGTGACCTTGGCGAGCCACCGACTTCCTGGATGTCAGCGTCTTTGTCTGCAAACAGAAGGACAGGACCAGATGGCCTCTGAGATCATCGGCCACACATGCCTTGATTTCTAATAATGTCTAAGAATGCGACTGGCTGCTGTTTTTGCTTTGCTGAAGTTCTCTGCCAGCAGTATGAGCACTGACTTTCGAGTCCTTTTCTGGATGGAACATCAGCTCCTCGGTGTCGGGTCCCGCAGTCCCTCCTGCAGGCTGGACCCTCCAGCCTCCCCTTCCAGTTCGTGCCTACGGGGAGGGTATGCTCAGGAGAGCCGGGCACCTTCAGCTGAAGGATTAGCCCGGTGGCTGCCACCGCTCGAAGCCGCTTGCCCTTTTTCTTCCACTGAAGAGAAACCATCCACACTGTTCCTGCATCGTGCTACAACGATGGCATTTGAGAGCCGTCCCAAACAGAGGCTCCTTGGCTCTTCTGACAAACCCATTCAAGACATTCTTTTAAACAGTAACCAGACCCTTGATTCATTAAAGATCCACACAGTTCCAACCAGTGTCTCCCTGTCCCGGGCCTCTGCCAGTCTCAATAGGGCCCACATGGCACCCGTCTGCAGCAGAGCATACACTGGCCGGGGAACGCCAACCCTGCCTTCGACGCTAAGAGGAGGTGAAATCATGGGCCAGACTAGGTTCCTTAAGGAGCCTGATTGTAAAGTGCAAATTGCAACAATGAAAATAATTTTTGTAACTCCACTGAAGCATTTCAGGCGCATTATAGAAAAAAATGAGATAATATAAACCTCACCACTCAAAGTGAGATCTAAGAACTAGTAGCATTGGCCATTGCTTGTGAGTCTTTAAGAAATAAAGAATCTTAGGCCCCACCCCAGAATTCCTGAGTCAGAATCTGCATTTAACGGGATCTGGAGGAGATTCCAATGTACATTAACATTTGAAGGACACTGATCTAAAATATCTTGAAAACCTACAGGAACTCTGTGTTGAAAGGTGAAGGATATATGTTGCCAGCTCTTATAAATAAAACAATATCTCCAGGGAAGGTATTGTTAAACATGAATTTAAATTTTTAATTTAATTTAATTTTGTTTTATTTTTCTAGAGACGGGGTCTTGCTACGTTGCCCAGGCTGAAGTGCAGTGGCTGTTCATAGCCACAGTCCCACTACTGATCAGCATGGGCCTTTTGACCTATTCTGCTTCTGACAGGGGCTGATTCACTCCTTCTCAGGCAACCTGGTAGTCCCCCCTTCTGGCAAGTCACCATATTGATGCTGAACTTAGTTCCAACACCTGATCGGCACAGCACACTGAAACCCAGAACTCCTGGGCTCAAGCCATCTCCCACCTCGGCCCCCAGGTAGCTGCCACCACACCAGGCATAGACTCACATCTGTACAACAGAGACATGCATAGAAAAACCTTCCCTCTTCTTGCCTTTCAGTGGTAATGCTCAGAACTGCTGCCGTGACAAAGCTTAGTGCAGTCAAAGAGGGGACAGGAGGTTTCCTTAGGTGGAAAAGAATAAATCATATCTTGGGAAGGGAGAAAGGAAAAGGATAAGAAATTTTGGCAGAGTAGCTTCTGGGATGAGTGGAAGTTAATGACATTTTGCTGAGTTGGGTTATGACTTTGCCCTCTGCTTTTGGAGTTGGTTTCATGTTTCTTTTGGATACAGCATCACACAGAGATGGGTCATAAAGTGGGGAGAAAAGTCCCAGAATTCCCAAAGACCCATATGCAATTTTTCTACAATTCACTGCTCATGCTGCTACCGTTTGCCTGGCATAGGACAAATATAAAGCTGTGAAATTGTCAAATGTTATTTTAGAGTTTAAAGACACAGTAGATGTCGTAACTCCAATAATCTCACATTACAGATGAATGTCCTTTAGTCTAGAGACTCGAGGTACTTGCAGAAATCCACACACACACACACACACACAAAAAAAAAAAAACAAAAAACAAAAAAACAAAGAAAAAAGCCTGGCTCAGATACTGGGCTGTGCCCTCCACACACTAACCACAAACTAAAATAATGTCCTAACAAAACCTGCCACACCTGACTCTTGCTCTGAAAACTTTAAAGCTTTAGACATATCAGTTCTTGTGCACAGCTTGCAGGGAATTATCTGGAATTACCCCACTGCCGTGGAAACTCCCGGTTGACATCCCGCGCATTGCAGATACACGAAGTGGCTTTGAGAGTGGCGGCTAAGACTGCAGTGAAGCTGCCAGCTCTGGAAAATTCCTCCCCTGCCAGGAAGACCAAGGGCCCAGCGGCTCTGCCTCCCTCCCAACTGAGTCCTTTTCTCCAGCGGGGGACACTGACCCCTGCGGAGGCCGCCCCAAGCTTCTGTGACCTGGCAGCACCGTGACATGGTGGCCAGAGCTTCCAGTGGCATTTTTCTCTGTAGCACACAGCTCTTAGACTCTGAAAAGTGTGTTGTTTTCCTCAATCCCTTTAATAAGCTCATCTGTAAGACTGGACAGAGCAGGGCTTGGACGGGCTGTCCCGGTGAGCTGGGGCACTGCTCCCGCCCAAACGCCTTTCTCTTCATGCCTCAGCCCAACTCGGGCACCTCCTGCTTTCCCTGCTGGAGACGAGGAGTGGAAATGAAGGAAGGGCTGTGGAAGGGACAGCAGCCGGAGGCTGGGGCATACGGGGCCGAGGTAGAGTGGTCACCAGGGCAGGTGTTGAGAGGCGGGCAGTGGTGACAGCAGCGAGGAGGGGAGGGCCGTAGCACATTGAGGGTGACGGCCACTGAGGGGCAGCTCTGCCTGCCCCTGCTGGTAGGTCTCAGAGGTAAACAGAGGCGGACGCTAGCTGACGTGGTAAAGGCAGACTTTAATCAGTCATAAATACACTGCGGCAATAGGGAAAGGTCCAGCGTGAACTGACGCCAACTCCGACTTGTGCAGAGGTGCCTGGGCATTGTAAAGGGACAGGGAGAGAATACGGAGGGGCGAGTGGGGCTCATGGGGTCTGGGAGGTGGACAGTCACAGAAAGCGGGAAGAGGGGCTCGGTCCACGGGAAACCCCCCTGGGTTTGCTAAGCGGCTCCTCCCCCCACAGAGGCTGGAAGGCAGGGCCCATCTGCAGCTCCTAGAACAGTCGATTCTTTCAGCAGCCTCAAGCTTTCTCACTGTCAGGGGGCTGGGGCAGCCTGAGGATGGGGCCCTGAGCTGTTGGAGACTGTGTTAGCGTTTGCTCACGTCTGTGTAGGCCAAGGCTGGGGCCTAGTCGAGAAGAGCGAGCAGAGGAGCCTGGCTAGAGTTTAGTCCAGGAGAAGGTCTTTGTCAGCCGCCCGAGGCCGCCTCCTTCACACCGAGCGTCTTCAAAAGTGGCCTCGCACGCGGGCCTGCCCTTGACTCCAGGACAGGCCCCTCAGCACACGCGGCTGGTATTTGGGGTTGACGAACCGTCCTGGAGAGGGAGGGCTGGGAGACCGAGTTCAGCCCTGCCCCGTGGAAACGCCCCAGCTTTGGGCCGGCTCTCGGTTCTGCCGCTCACCGGGGGAAGGCGGGCTAGTGTCTGCGAGCCCGTCCCCTCGCCTGTGACGTGAGGGAGGGGCCCTCTCACTGCACGGGCGGGCGGCACGGGAGCACTTTGCGGGGCGAGGAGACTCCGTGGCACCCCACAAGTGCTCGTTCCTGTCCCCTTCCTTTAGAGGGAGGTTCTGGAAGCGCCCAATGTAACAAACAGGTTAGAAACCAAGATTCCCTGTGTAGGTTGGTTGGCTGTGGTTTAGAAACATTATATTTAGATGCCCAAGACCACTCGCAAACACTCATTGATGCCAAATATAGACGGCTCACTACCTGTTTATAGCAAAACACACAGAAGCAAAAACCCCAACTTTTTTGCCAGCCTGTTTCGAGGTGCCAGATGTGTACAAGTGAGGGGTCGGTTCTGAGAAGGGCGCCGCGGCGATGGCTTCCTGAGAGCGTGAGCCCCCGCCCCTGTGCCCAGCGCCTGCCGTCCTTGCCTGGAGTTTTCTGTGAATGGTAAGAGAACAAATTTCAGTGTCGGGTGGACTTGAGTTCACGTTCTGACTCCCCTGCTTAGTAATTCTGTGGTGTGGGGCACGTCATCTAACCCATCCAAGCCTCGGCTCCTTCATCTGCGAAATGGGCTGACAACGGCACATTCTTCAGAATGTTCTCGTGAGGATTAAATGAGAACACTCAGGAAACGTGCTTGGAGGAGCACCTGGCCAGGTTCTAGAGCAAGCGTCCCCTCAGGGTGACCATGTTTCCAGGGCAGGAGACTGTACACAGTCGGTGCTAAGGGGATGTCTGGAGAACTGGTCTCCCGCACAGCCGCAGTGGTGGCCGGGCTGCCTCCGCCTGACTTGACCCCAGCCCTCCTCCAAGGCACTGAGCTCGGGAACAGAAGGTGGGAGAGGAGTGGGACTCCCCGGCCTTCGTGGCAGCCAGAGACACGGGTGGGGTGGTGGGTTCTTGCTGAGCACAGACCGAACAGGCGTGGAGCCAGGGGACGCAGAGCTCCAGGTGACCCGCGGCCCCCCAGCCGCACGTGCAGGTCCTCTCTAGAAACCCGCGCAGGGAGCCACGCAGGTGCCCAGGCCTCCTTCCAGCTCTGAAGGGTCCCCGAGTCAGAGCTCTGGTGCTGGCTCCCAGTCACTGGGAAGTGCAGGTAGCCGGAAATATAGATTCGAACAGGAAATTTTTATTTCATCTCAGTGCATGCTTCTGGGTGGAGAAGGGGTGAGATGCTAGAACACAAGCAGCCAGTGTTTATGCCCCTGCGAGGGGAAGACAGCCAGTGGGTTTTGGCCTGGAATGCGGGTGGGCGTTAGAAGTGTTGTGATGGTGACCATGTGCCCAGGGCAGCCAGTCCCCTCCTTCACTCAGTCAGTGTCCCCGTGGAGTGCTCGGCCCTGCTCGAGGGACTGCAGGTGCAGCAAGGGACATAGCGGGAAAACCCTGCCTGCCCGACGGGGCGGACGTTCTAGCTGACACAGACATGCTCCTGTCTTTCAGAAATAATCCTAGAGTGCGCAGCGCAGGAAAGGATGACGAAGAAAGGGAAAAAAGGAAAATAAAATAAGGAGAGAAGCAAGAAAGGCAGGACAGGAGATGAAGCAGCCCACGTCACAGCCCGGACGGATCCACCACGTGTCTTGGGTGCTTCTGACGGTTACCATGGTTACTGGCCCCATGGCCATCCCTGACGTTGAAAGCCCATTCCTGTTATTTTTGTAACATCATACAACAGTTCCGGAGCCTCCGTGTGGGTTGGCTGACACCCTCGAGTGAACATCTAGTTCTAAGGAAATGACCCAGGAATTCTCAACATTTGATTTTTCTCTCGAACATTGGGCATATCTACAAAAAAATTCAAACCTCTTACACAAAGGGTGGTGGGGACCTCTTTTGGCCCTGTGGCGAGTCGATCAGGATATGGCCTCAAATAAGAAAGCGAGTCTTGTACGTGGGAAAATAGGGCAGCCGGAGAGCTGAGCATCTAGGAAGGTGAGAAACGTGGGCATTGCTAGCGCAGGCTCAGGTGGGGGACACAACAAGATGCCCACATGGCATGAAGCCTTGAGTCTCTGGGTAATGGACACCCAAAGTTTCTGAGCAGAGCAGGACTGCATGTGACAAAGGTTAACTTGCCCCTGTGCTGTTTTCCCAGGGGGCAGTTCTACCTGACCTCTAGGAGGACACTCCGTGCCACGCACATGAGGTCGAGTGGATGCCCGTCTCACTTCTCCCAACGTGTACATCCATCCTGGGATTCTGGCAGCGGACGGAGAGGCCCTTCCCCTTCCAGCATGGGAAGCCCAGTTGGGCGGAAGGAGCTCAACCCAAGCTGCTGCCCTCTCAGGTGCCCCCTGCCCACCCCCTTGTCCTCACCTGGGTGGGCCCCAGGTTCTCCCAAATCCAGCAGCTTTCATGCCCAGCCTCACTGAGTGCTTGCATCATCTGAGCTATTTCAGCACAAGTGTCGAAAAAGAAAAGTATCCCTTTCCACTGATTTCAGCCAAGGCAATTGAGAATTTTTTATGAAGCTTGTTCACCAGAACGAGAAGGAAAAGGGAAACAAAATTCAAAAGCTGAGGTGTGTGTGAGCATACAAAGCATAGGTTTCTCTGACGGGCATCTCAATTCTTCTCATGGGCTGACTTGGGCGCGGGACACAGGCCCCAGGCTGCTGGAAACCACGCTAAACCCTTTGCCTTTTAAAGTAATTTTAGCTGGCACCGGCTGGACATCTTGTCCTCTTAGAACCTGCCTGGAAAGTTGGAGGAATGGGAGTGGGACCGTTTCCAGGCTGTCCCTGCTGCTTTGAGGCTTGGCTGTAGTTTGGTCTTCCTTTGCCCTGGCTCCCCGCCAGGATGAAGACAGTCCCCCCACACCTGAGCTGACCTGCCTTTCCTCCTCGGAGCAGCGCCCACGCCACACCCAACAGCACCCAGAGTGATTCGCCGATAGGTGGATGGATGGATAGACGGATGGAAGGGTAGATGGATGGACGAATGGAAGGATGGATGGATGGATGGCTAGATAGATAGCTGGGTGGACAGAGGGATAGATGGATAGATAGATGGATGGATAGATACACATGTAGGAGAAACAGTAGCTGTTTGGATCCTTATAATAGTAACCCAGTAGATTGTCTGGAGAGACGGTGAGGAACAGCCGCAGTGGTGGCCTTAGGTAGGTGAGGGGTCCCGGGATTGGGCACACAGTAATGCAGCAGCCTTAGGTGGGAGCGTGTCCGGGGAAGGAGGCGAGGTTAAGGCTGATCGGCGCGTGTCTGCAGGAGTTTTATTCTGATAGCCTCTAATTTCACAGTGAAATGACGAGCTGCATCAATGGGCTGGGGCACAGCAATGGAGGAGGTGCTGGCAGTTTGTGGAGACAGGAGGTGTGAAGTCAGCTCGAGATTGGCTGAGTTAAGGAAATGGCACAAAAAGTGCCGACTTGAAATTTATGTCATAAATTAATGCCAGGCCAGCCAGCATGCGGGGAGCTGGTTTAGCCTGGGTCGTGGTTTCGCCTAGCGTGTGACAAGGCAGGGAAGGCAAGGAGGTTGGCGGTGTCCACAAGGGAGGGGTGGTGAGGAACTCCCGTGGGACCCAGGGCAGCAGGGAGGGCAGAGGACAGCGCAGAGACAGCAGGAGGAGCGGATTAAAGGACATGAGGGGTGAAAGGGGTCGGGGTTCTAGAGGGAGGACATGGGAAAGATAAAATGTGATGTCCTCCAGTGGGCAGATAGCCTGGGGTGGTGGGGGCGGCAGGTATTGGTGATGGCGTGATCACAGCCCAGGGTGTGAGCACGAGAGTGGCCGAGGCAGGGAGAGAAGCATGATCGTTAGAGGACAGAATTCCACAAGCCGAGGGGACTGGTTTGGGAGAATCAGCAACATCAGTGGTTGGCAAACTATGGCGCACTGGCCAAACTGGCCTGCTACCTGTTTTTAAAATAAAGTTTTATGGGGACACAGACATGCCCATTCATTTATGTATTTTCTACCGGTGGTCCCCAACCTTTTTGGCACCAGGGACCGGTTTCATAGAAGACAAATTTTCCACGGACCAGGGGGCTGGGGGACAGGCGGAGCTCGGCCGGTCACTCGAGTGATGGGGGGCGGCTGTAAACACACGGGAAGCTTCCTTCGCCCACTCTCTTGCCACTCACCTCCTGCTGTGCAGCCCAGTCCCTAACTGGCCACGGACCAGAACCGGTCCACAGCCCCGGGGTTGGGGACCACAGTTTTCTACAGTTGCTTTCTCTCTACAGTGGCAGCATTGAAAGCCAAAAATGTTTATTCTCTGGCTTTTTACAGAAGAATTTTGCCCACCTAAGTGGACATTGCGCTTGCCATTGTTTATAGTTTTCAGTGAACAACATTGTTCACTGAACCTTGACTATGACAAAAGAAATTAAACTAATATAATTTCCTGTAATAAATACTCAGGATGTAATGACTATAAGCCAGCTGCCCTTGAAACTATGGAAACAACTTTTCAATATTACAGAAAAGCTCTTTGCCCTGCTTTATAAACAGGTATTCTGTTCAGCTTTATGATGACAAGATAAAATGTAGACCAAATATCGGCTTAATTTGAATTATATACTAGCAGTGTTGTAAATATTCACTAAACGTTACCCTATATTTATTATAAAGAGCTCAGCTAAGGCTGAATGAAGGAACAAAGTGCTTTTAATCCCCATTTCTACATTGGTTATGAGTTCCAGTTATGTTCCACTTTCCAACTGGGTCAATTTTGGACCTAATTAAATATTTTAGAATCAATGTGTAAATGTTCTATCCTTCTTTCAGAAAACCTCAGCTCCAGCCAAAACAGAGTCACAAAACTGTAGTTTTTTAGAGAGACCTTCCCCGGCTCTTTTATCTAAGTTGTTGGCTCTGCCATTCTCTAAACCATCACCCCACTCATTTTCTTCACGGCAATTATGTAATTATGCAAAGTAAGCAAAAAAGAGTATCTTCACTTACCATCAAAATTTTTACTCATATTTCCAAATTTTATAGATATTCAGGATTTTGATACACATTTTATTAGTAGTGTATTATATTCTTACACTGTATAACTTTTCTTTTGAGTATCAGTTATGTGCATTTCACTTGTTTTGTATTTTGAAAGTCTGTTTAAAACTTTTTGACTTATGTCTATAATTAAATGAAAATTTTTCTCACTGACTCCTTTCATATCATAACTTATTCATTCTTGAGTCACCCTTTGTTAGCTAAGAGCTGAGTGATATTTTTGTGGGTGAGGACAAAGTGGATAGTATATTTTCTTAGCTCTTGCAGATGTGATAATATCTTTTTGTTGGTCTCTCTCATGAGTAACAATATTGACTCGATGTAGAATTCTTGAGTCATACTTGTTATGTTTCAAAATTCTAGGCATTGTTCCACTGCCTTCTGGTAATTACTGTATTATAGACAGGGAACAAAATTCTAGGGCCACTTTGCATTTTTTTTTCTCTACAAGTAACTTTTTTTATTATTTATTTTGGAAAGCACCCATTTCTGAAGGAAATAACCATATTTTAGAGTCTAACTTTCCTTGGTAAAGGGTGGGTATTTTAATTTTTAGACTTAGGTATTGTTCATTTCAGGACACTGTCTTTCTATTTCTGACTGTTTTTATTCAGTTGCTCTGGTTCCTTCTTCAGAAACACCCATCTTATCCACGGGATAATTCTTGGTTCTCTGTCATCTTCTTTCTCATCATTTTCATCTCTGTTCCCTTTCCTCTGCGTTCTGAGAGAATCCCTCATTTGCCCTCGGTCTTACACGTTCTGGTTTCCGCGGCTGCAGTTGTGTCCCCCCTCCAGTGCCTCCAGCAGGCTTTCGTTTTGCTATCCCAATTTTCGACTTTCTCGCTATCTTTTCATAGTCACCTGCCACGCCGCTCAAGCCAGGAGCCCAAATCCATCTTCATGCCTTGCTGCCGACAGTTACGGTTGCTTCGGCCTCCAGAATGTTTCTCTAAACTGTCACTTTGTCTCCAGCATTCCTGCCATCACTTCAATCTAAGATGCCACCCTTCATCCTTCCTTTGCTTCCTCCCTGCCTCTTCTAGCCTGTTCCCTATACAGTAGTTAGAGTAGTTAACATATGTATATATTTAAACATGTGTGAATGTGCCCTTGACCCTTGAACAATACAGGATTGACCTGCCCAGGTCCACTTACACATGGATTTTTTCTGCCTCTGCCACCCCTGAGACAGCAAGACCAATGCCTCTCCTCTTCCTCCTCCTCCTCCTCCTCATGAGTTTCTCACTAACATTTCCTTTTCTCTAACTTACTGTTATTGTCAGAATACAGTCTACAATACACATAACATATACGAAATATGTGTTAATTGACTGTTATTGGTAAGGCTTTCAAAAGGCCAACAGTAGGCTATTAAGTAGTTAAGTTTTGGGGGAGTCAAAAGTTATACATGGACTTTCTATTTCAGGGCAGGGATTGTTGCACCTAACCCCCACAGTGCCCAAGGGTCCACTGTATATCTGTGCATGTGTGTATAAAC